CCCCTTCCCACCCCGCCCTAAAAACGCACCCGCGCCCTCTCCCCGGGCAGGAACCGCCCGCTGGTGCCTCGGGGGGCTCCAGTTGGTCCCCGTGTCCCCCGGATTGTCCCCGTGTCCCCCCGGGGCTCTGGTTTGTCCCCGTGTCGCCCCCGGTACCTGCAGGGTCGCGGCGGGGCCGGGAGCGGCGGGAGGAGGAGCGGGAAGAGGGCGGGGAGAGGGCGGGAGGGACGGACGGAGGGAGGGACGGACGGACGGACGGAGGGGAGACCGGGAGCTGTGGGGCGGTGCCGGGGGAATCCGGGCGTGCGGGGACCGGGGGGATGCGGGATTGGGATAGGGATTCTGGAATGGGGGTTTTGGGATCGGGATGGGGATTCTGGGAAAGAGATTGGGATGTGGGATGTGGGACCGGGATGGGGGATGTGGGATATGGGACCGCGATGGGGATGTGGGATATGGGACCGGGATCGGGATGTGGGACCGGGATTGGGATGTGGGATCGGGATGGGGGATGTGGGATATGGGATAGGGGTGGGGATGTGGGATCGGGATGGGGATTCAGGGACCGGGATTCAGGGAGCGGGATCGGGATGTGGGACCGGGATGTGGGACCGGGATGGGGATTCAGGGACCGGGAAGGGGATGTGGGACCGGGATTCAGGGAGCGGGAAGGGGGTCCCGGCCCCGGGCAGGCGCTGCCGGTGCCGTGGGGGCCGTTCCGGTGGCCGAGCCCCGCCCCCGCCGCTCCGGGCCCGCTCCGTCCCCATTGTCCCGCGCGTGGGGCCGGGCCGGGAGGGACATTCCCGGCCCCGTTCCCGGCCCCATTCCCGGCCCATTCCCGGCCTCATTCCCGCCCCAATCCCGGCCCCATTAGGCCCCACCCTTCCCTTCCCACCCCGCGACACGGAGGCGGTGGCACCGCCACAAGGCCGGGACGGGGATTTTGGGGACAAAATGCCACCCCCTTTTATGGCTGGGGCGCCCCGATCCCAAATCCCCGCGTTCCCGGAACGGGATGCGCTCACCGGGCCGGGATTTGGGATCGGATCCGCCCCGGCGCCGTCACATGACGGAGCCACCAGGAAGCGCCGCCGCTCCTCTTTCCTGTCCCCAAGCCCGCGCTGGCGACAACGCCACCTCGCCCAGTGTCGCCAGTGTCGCCAGAGCGGGGCCGGGACCGCGGGAGGGTCCCGGAGCCCCGGGGCATTGTCCCCGCGGTGGCACCGCTCGGATTTGTCACCCGCGGTGGCAGCGAAAAAACCCCAGAAGATTTTATCAGCCCTCAGCCCGGCTGACCCCAAAGCCCGTCCGGGTGTCCCTGGAATGTCACCAAGCCCAGGTGACCCCAAACTCTGTCCCCAGGTCACCCCAAATCCTCGAGCGCCACCGCCCCAGGTGACCCCAAACCCTTCTGTGTTGTCCCAACCCAAGTGACCCCAAATCCCTGGGTGTCACCCTGATCCTCGGTGACCCCAAATCCTGCCCTGGTGTCCCTAAAGCGTCACCAACCACAGGTGACCCCAAGCTGTCCCCAGGTCACCCCAAATCCTCCAGTGCCACCACCTCGGGTGACCCCAAACCCTTCCACGGTGCCCCTCAATGTCCCCAACCCAAATGACCCCAAATCCTCAAGTGTCACCCTGACCCCAGTGACCCCAAATCCTGCCCTGGTGTCTCTCGAGTGCCACCACCCCAGGGCACCCCAAACCCTCAAATGTCACCCCCCAGGGGACCCCAAACGCTTTTGTGGCGTCCCCCGAGTGTCACCAGCCCCAGGTCACCCCAAACTCTGTCCCCAGGGACCCCAAACCCTCGAGTGTCCCCCTGACCCCGGTGACCCCAAACCCCATAAGGGTTGGGATCGGGATCCTGGAATTCCCTGGGATTTGCCCCATGTGGGGTCACAGTCCCAACCCCAAAAATTCCTGGAAATCCCATGGGATCCTCCTGTTCCCAGCTGGGAATTCCCATGGAAACCCCAATCCAGAGCGGGAAATCCTCGCTCCGGGGGGAATTCCCAAATATTCCCAAATATCCCAAAGGGACACCCAAAAACTCCCAGGAAATCCCAGGAGATTCCAGGAAATCCACCCCGAAGGAATTCCCAAGGATTTGGAGGGGCTGGAGAGGGAAATCTGGGATTGGGAAAAATGGGAATTCTGGGATCCCAAATCCCAGTTTGGGATTGGGAAAAAATGGGAATGCCAGGATCCCAAATCCCACTTTGTGACTGGGAAAAATGGGAATTTTGAGATCCCAAATCCCCAAAATCCCTGAGTTTTTCCCAGAAAAATCCTGGAATCCCAAATCCCAGTTCTGGGATTCCAAATCCCAAAACTCCAAATTTTCCCGGAATTTTGGCCCTTGGAAAAGGGGGAAGAGCTTGGAATTCCCATTGGGATTTGGGATCAGCCTTTTTCCAGGAGGGAATTTGGGATCTGGGATGGGATTTTTCCTGATTTTTTCTGCCTTTGGAGCTCCCTGATCCCAAAAATCTCAGGAATCCCTCTGGAATCAGATCCCCTCCTTCCCCAGCAGGGATTTTTCCCAGGAAAAACCTCTGGGAAAAGGGGAAAAGCTTTTCCCAAATCCCCATTTTTCCATGGATTTTTTACATTCTGGAAGATCCGGGAACGGGAACAAATCTGGGGTCGTTTTTTGGGATAAAATCCCAGTTTGGGATGAGAGAGAGGCAGGAATTTCACCCCCAGGAATTCCAAACCCCGGAATTCCGATCCCTGCTCCAAGGATTGTTTGGAATTCTTGGATCCCACCAGGATAAACAATCCTTGGAATTCCTGCGCTCAGAATTCCCTCCCCCAATCCCAAAAGCGGCTCTGAAATTCCCTTTTCCTGCTTTTTCCCCCTCTTTTTTTATGGGATTTTTGGGTTTTCCCACTGCCATCCCCGAATCCCGGGATTCTGTGGGGCTGGGAAAGGAAAAATTTGGGAATTCTGGAGGGAATTTTGGGGTTTTTCATGGATTTGGGGATTTTTGGGAAAGGAAAGAGCCGGGATTTGCTCCCCTTGGATTTGGGATTCTTGGCCATGGAAAACTGGGAATTCTGGGACAACCTCAGCTGGAATTCCTTGGGATGAAATTCTGAGGGAGATTTGGGATTTGGGGTGATCCAAATCCTTGGATTTGGGAAAGAATTCCCGGGCCCAAATCGTCATGGATTCCTTCCCAATCCAGGGGGTTTTTTGGGATCATTCCTTGGGGGTTTTTGGTTGGTTTTTTTTTGGATCTTCCCTCAGTTTTCCTGGGATCCAGAGAGATTTTGATCCTAAAAACTCGGGAAGAGCCCAAATCCCAACCCTGGAGCTGGGAATGAGGGAAAACCTCAGGAAAATCTGGGAAAACCCCAAAGAAATCTGGGATGAGGGAAAACCCTTGGAATTCCCAAGAATTCCTGGGATTAAAACTCAGTTTTTAGGGAAAATGGGATGGGGAAAAAAACCCGGATTTGGTTCTTGAGAATTCCCAAAAATCCTTCTCACATTTTTTCCCAGGAAATCAGAAATCCCCTTTTCCCTATGGAACCACCCCCATTCCCAGATTTTTCTCCCTCTGGCTCCATCCCGAGGGATTTTTCCCCAAATCCCAAAGGGATCCCGGAGTTTCCTGGGGTGAGGAGAAGCCTTGAATCCAAGGATTTTCCCCCCTCAGCCCCAGAATTCCCGATATCTCCCTGACGCAGGAGCTCAGCCTCTGGAATTCCGGGAATTTCCGCAGTATTTTAAACACAGGGATAAAAAAAAAAAACTCCTAAAAATCCCCAGGACTGGGGGATTTTGGGATGAGCAGAAAACCCCTGGAAGCAGCTGAGGGGTTGATGCTGATCCAGAAAATTTCTTGGGAATGCTGAGCCGGTTCCAGCTCCAAAACCCCTGGAATTCTTTTGGGATCAATGCCAGGAATTCCTCTTTGGGGCCGATTTTGGAAAAAAAAATCCCAAATCTGAGATTTTTTTCCAGGAAAAAGGGGGAGAGGGATTTTTGGATTTGGGGGAAATGGAGCTGATGGAAAACTGGGAAAGGGGAGGTGGGGGTGAGGAGGGACAGAAATTCCATTAAAATGCCATTTAAAAAAATCCATTTAAAAGTTCCATTAAAAATTCCATTAAAAGAAATTCCATTAAAAATTCCGTTAAGAAAAAAAAAAAAAAAAAAAAGGAATTCCATTAAAAAATCCATTAAAATCCGGGATTGGAATAACAAAGGGCATGAAATAACCCCACCAAAAAAAAAAAAAAAAGGAAAATTTGGAATGAGGCTGGAAAATCCATGGGATTTATTCCAGGGAGTTTTCCCTGTTTTTCCATTTTCCTTGGATGCAATGGAATGGGAAGAGTCGGGAGGGAGGAAAATGAAGGAATTTTTGGGGGTCTTGGTGATTCCCCATGATCCAAACTGAAATCCCATAATTTTGGGGGGGGGGGGGGGGATAGAACGAGGGATTTTCCCTGGAATTTGGGATCTCGGAGCCTTGGGTGAGGATTTTTGGGAAAAGGGGGATAAACCAGGCTGTATCCCAAAAAACCTCGGGATTTGTGCATCCAGAGGGGTCTGGATCACCGGACACCCCAAAATTCCAGCCCCGGGAGCGAGGTCGGAGCCAAAATTCCTTCGTTTTTTTGGGATAACACCCCCCCCCCCCCCCATTCCCAAATTCCTCATCCGAGGGGAGAGCAGCGCTCCGGGAGTTCTGGGGTTATCCCTGGAATTCGGGATCCCGGGAAAAGCGGAGCCTCTGCTCGCTCCTTATCAGCGCGGAGCCCAAACAATTCCCTGTGCCCGCGGCTCCGCGGCTCCTGCCGGGATAAACAATTCCCAAAAATCCTCCGGGAACGCTCATCCCGACCCCTCGCCCCTCGGAAATGACGGGGGCGCGCTCAGGGGCGCCCTTGGAATTCCAAAGGGGGGGAGCTGGGCTCGTTCCCGGCGGGATATAAACCCGGGCTGGGGCTCCGCGCCGGGAATCGCGGGCATTTTCCGGGATGCGCTCCCAAATCCGCCTCCTCCTGGCGCTGCTCTGCGCGGCCCCCGCGGCCTCGGCGCCTCCGCCCTGGCAGCCGGCATGGAGCGATCCCAATCCCAATCCCAATCCCAGTGCCTGGGGCTGGGCGGACGAGCAGCCCCATTCCCATTCCGGTTCCCATTCCCATTCCCGGTGGGGCTCCCGGGCGCAGGTGCCGGTGGAAGTGCAGTGCCAGGAGGCGCAGCTGGTGGTGATCGTGCACCGGGACCTGTTCGGCAACGGCCGCTTGGTCAGCGCCGCCGAGCTCAGCCTGGGCCCCGCCGCCTGCAAACATTCCCGCCTGGATCCATCCCAGAAAACCGTCACCTTCAGCGCCGGCCTGCACGAGTGCGGCAGCACCGTCCAGGTGAGTCCCGCCTCTCATCCCGGCATTCCCAACCGGATTATTCCCACCGGGAGCGGCTCCCGGGGTTGTCCGGATCCCAGGTTTTGAGGGAGATCCAGGTGAGTCCCGTTCCCATTCCGGGATTCCGCTCCTATCCTGGGATTCCCACCGGGAGCGGCTCCCGGGATCGTGCGGATCCCAGGTTTTGAGGGAGATCCAGGTGAGTCCTGTCCCGATCCCGGGATCCCGCCCGGGAGAGGCTCCAGGAGATCCCGGGGTGTCGGGGGAGATCCAGGTGAGTTCCGTTCCCGTCCCATTCCCATCCCGGGATTCCCACCGGGAGTAGCTCCCGGGTCCGTGCAAATCCCAGATTTAGGGGAGATCCAGGTGAGTCCCATTCCCATCCCGGGATTCTGCTCGTATCCCGGGATTCCCACCTGGAGCGGCTCCCGCGGTGTCGGGAGAGATCCGGGTGAGTCCTGTCGGGATCCCGGAATTCCCACCGGGAGCGGCTCCCGGGATCGTGCGGATTCCCGAGTCCTTGTCCCGATCCTGGGATTCCACCCGGGAGAGGCTCCAGGAGATCCGGAGGTGTCGGGGGAGATCCAGGTGAGTCCCGTCCCCATCCCGGGATTCCCACCTGGAGCGGCTCCGGGGCCGCGCCTGTTCCCGGTTTCACGGAGATCGAGGGGCTGGATCCGGGATCATTCCAGGGGAAGGAGGAGCCGCGATTTCCTGGGAATTTGAGCGGTTTTCCCGCAGCTTTTCCCATTCCTCTGGGAAAAGCCTCTTTTCCCTCAGGTTTAATTCAACTCCGTGGAAACGGTGGTTTCCCATCCCTTTTCCCTCTCTTCCACCCCATTTCCCCCCTTTTCCATCCCTTTTCCACCATTTCCATGAATTCTCCCAGCATTCCCAGTCAGCCCAGTGGTGCTGCTGGGATGAGGAGCGGCCTCTCCCACAGAATTCCCCACTTTTATTCTCAAATCACCCCGAATTCCCCAATTCCTTGGAATTCCCAATCACCCTGCTGACCCCCCTGATTGGAGACCCATGGAATTCCTGGTTTTTATTCCCAGATTCCCTCATTTCTTTCAATTCCCTCATTTTCTGGGTTCCCTTTTCCCACGGAATTCCTGGTTTTCATTCCGGGTCACCCCACATTTCCTCATTCCTTCCAATTCCCGCTCACTCAGGATTGAGGAACCCCTTTTCCCCAAATTCCCAGTTTTTATTCCCAGATCACTCTGGATTCCCTCATTTCTTTCAATTCCTGCATTTTCTGGGTTCCCTTTTCCCACCGAATTCCCTGTTTTCATTCCCAGATCACCCCAGATTCCCTGATTTCTTCCACTTCCCACTCACTCTGGATTGAGGAACGCTTTTCCCACAGGATTCCCAGTGTTTATTCCCAGATTCCCTCATTCCTTCCACTCCCTGCTCACTCGGGATTGAGGAACCCTTTCCCCCTGGAATTCCCGGTGTTCATTCCCAGGTCACTCCGGATTCCCTGATTTACCGGACGCTCCTGAGCTACGATCCAGCCCCGGCAGCAACCCGGCCATCGTGCGCAGCGACCCGGCCGTCATCCCCATCGAGTGCCACTACCCCAGGTGCCCGTCCTGGATCCCATCCTGCGCTCCCGGCATTCCCGGCAATCCCATTCCCATCCTGGATCCCTTCCTGGCATTCCCGGCATTCCAGCAATCCCATTCCCATCCTGGCATTCCCAGCAATCCCATTCCCATCCTGGAATTCCTTCCTGGCATTCCTAGGAATCCCATTCCCATCCAGGGATCTCATCCCAGATTCCCAGTGTCCCATTCCCAGTGTCCCCATTCCCATTTCCAGTTCCCTTTTCCAGGTGGGATAACGTCACCCGTGGCTCCCCGTTCCCACTGTCCCCATTCCTGTCCCAGCGTCCCCATTCCCATTCCCATTGTCCCCATTCCATTCTGGTGTCCAAGTTCCGTTCCCAGTGTCCCCAGCATCCCATCCCACATTCCTGGGACTCCCAGATCCCATCTGCATTCCTGGCATTCCCATTCCCATTCTGGGGTCCCCATTCCCACCCACTGTCCCTGTTCCCACTGTCCCATTCCCATATCACGATCCCATTTCCCTTTTCCAGGTGGGATAACGTCACCAGCGGCTCCCTATTCCCAGTGTCCCCGTTCCCAATTTCCCCATTTCCATCCCAATTTCCCCATTCCCAGCATGCCCATTCCCAGTGTCCCCATTCCCATTGCCAGTGCTTCATTCCCATCCCAGTGTCCCCATCCTGATCCCATTCCCTTTTCCAGGTGGGATAATGTCACCCATGGCTCCCCATTCCCAGTGTCCCATTCCCAATTTCCTTCCCGATGTCCCCATTCTTGTCCCAGTGTCCTATTCCCAGTTTCCCATTCCCAGTGTCCCCGTTCCATCCCAGTGACCCCATTCCCGATCCCATTCCCTTTTCCAGGCAGGGTAGCATCTCCAGCGTCCCCATTCCATCCCAGTGTCCCCATCCTGATCCCATTCCAATCCCATTCCTTTTTCCAGGCGGGATAACGCCTCCAGGAGCTCCCCATTCCCAATGGCCCCATTCCCATTCCCGATCCCATTCCCATTTCCAATTCCCTTTTCCAGGCGGGATAACGTCTCCAGCGGCTCCATCCGTCCCACCTGGTCTCCCTTCAACTCCGCTCTGCACTCCCAGGAGAAGCTCCTGTTCTCCCTGCGCCTCATGAACGGTGCGGGATCGGGGCCTTCCCACACTTCCCCTCCTTTCTCATCCCTTTTCCATCTCTTTTCTCCCTTTTCCATCCCACTTTTCCCGACCTTTTCCCCATTTCTCCATCCCACTTCCCCATTTCTCCATCCCGTTTCCCCATTTGTCCATCCCCTTTTCCCCCTTTTCCATCCCTTTCCCACCCCTTTTCCCCTTTTGGGGTTTGGGGTTGATCCCGTTGGGTTTTCCAGAGGACTGGAGCTCAGAGCAGGATTTCTCGGGGTTCCCCTTTCCCATCCCTTTTCCCACTGCGTTTTCCAGAGGACTGGAGCTCCAAGTGGGATTTCTCGGGATTCCCCCTTTTCCACCCCTTTCCCACTTTGGGATCACTTTGGGGTTGATCCCATTGGGTTTTCCAGAGGACTGGAGCTCAGGGCAGGATTTCCTGGGATTCCCCTTTCCCATCCCTTTTCCCATGGGGTTCTCCATAGGATTGAAGCTCCGAGCGGGATCTCCCGGGATTCCCCCTTTCCCATCCCATTTCTCATTTTGGGCTCAGTTTGGGGTTGATCCCGTGGGGTTTTCCAGAGGACTGGAGCTCGGAGCGGGATCTCTCGGTGTTCCGCCTGGGGGACGTGCTGAACATCCAGGCCGAGGTGGGCGCCCACAGCCACGTCCCCCTGCGGCTCTTCATCGACTCCTGCGTGGCCACGCTGGGCCCCCGGCGCGGGCACCGAGCCCCACTACGCCATCATCGACTTCAACGGGTGCGCCAGGGACACCTGGGGACATCTGGGGACATCTGGGGATGGTTTCGGGACATCTGGGGATGTTTGGGGACATTTGGGGCCGCTTTGGGGTCTGGGGGACACCCAGGGGGGTGGTGAGCTCTCCTTGTCCCACTGCACCATCATCGACTTCAATGAGCGTGCTGGGGACACTGGCGACGTCTGGGGATGTTTGGGGATAATTTGGGACATTTGGGGACAATTTGGGGTGAGAGACAGAGTCAGGGGGTGGTGACACCTCGCTGCACCATCACTGACTTCAACGGGTGGGTTGGGAACATCTGGGGACACTTTGGGGTCAGGGACACAGTCAGGGGTAGTGACACCTCGTCCCTTCCCACTGCTCCATCATCGCCTTCAATGGGTGAGTTTGGGGACATTTGGGGACAATTTGGGGTCTGGGGGACACACAAGGGGTGGTGACTTCAATGAGAGAGCTGGGGACATTTGGGGACATTTTCAGCTCTAGGAGGTGCTGAGCACTTGTCACTTCCCCAGCCGATCTGGGACACTTGGGGACACTGCAGTGCCAGCCAGGGCTGTAACCCCGCTGTCCCCATGACTGTGACCCCACTGTCCCTGGGGCTATGTCCCCGCTGTCCCCATGGTGTGACCCCGCTGTCCCCACAGCTGCCTGGTGGACGGGCGCTCCGATGCCACCAGCTCGGCCTTTGTCACCCCCCGGCCGCGGCAGGACCGTGCTGCGCTTCCAGATCGACGCCTTCCGCTTCGCCGGCGACCCCCGCAGCCTGGTAAGGGCCTGGGGAACCCTGGGGACACCCCGCTGTCCCCAGCGCCACCCCGGTGGCCGCGCGGTGTCCCCAGCAGTGTCCTCTGGCGCAGATCTACATCACGTGTCACCTGAAGGTGACACCGGCCGAGCAGAGCCCGGACGCGCTGAACAAGGCCTGCTCCTTCAGCAAGGCGCGCAACACGTGAGTAGTGTCACCTCTCTAGTGTCACCTCTCTAGTGGCACCTCTCTAGTGTCACCTCCCTGGTGGCACGTCCCTGGTGGCACCTCCGTGGTGTCACCTCTGTGGTGGCATCGGCTGATGGTGTCACCTCCCTGCCGCAGCTGGGCGCCCGTGGAGGGGACAAGGGACATCTGCAGCTGCTGCGAGCTGGGCAACTGCGGCCGGAGGCCAGCGGAGCCCTGGAACGGCCACCGCTACCGGAGACACGACGGGGACGGTGAGGGGACAGTGTGGGGACATGGGAACACTGGGGATACCAGGGACATGGGGGCATGGGGACAGTGGGACAGGGGGAGAGCAGGACATGGAGACAGGGGGACACTGGGATGGGGGACAGGGGGACAGGGGGACAGTGAGATATGGGGACAGGGGCACATGGGGACTGTGGAGAGGGGGTGATCCCTCCTCACTGTCCCTCACTGTCCCTCACTGTCCCTTGTCCCCAGGTGCTACCTCTGAAGCTGACGTTGTCATCGGTCCCGTGCTGCTCTCGAGTGCCCAGCATGACCAGCGCCCTGAGGGCCACCAGGGTGAGTCCCTGAGGTGACACTGGGTGACACCAGGTGACACCAATGACACTGGGGACACTGGGTGACACCGGTAACACCAGGTGGCACCCGGTGACAATCCCCGCTGCCCTCCATGTCACTCGGTGTCCCTTGGCAGGCGCGGTGGCACCGCTGGCCCTGGGGACAGCGCTGGCCTGTGCGGTGGCCGGCGTGGCCGTGGCCGGAGCCGCGCTGGCCATCGGCCTCAGGCGCCGGAATTCCCCATGAACCCCGGAATGACCGACGGAAATCCCGATAAATCCCACAAGGACCAATGGAAATCCCAAACAATCCCACAAGGACCAATGGAAGTCCTGATAAATCCACAAGGACCAACAGAATTCCCAATAAATCCCACAAGGACTGATGGAAATCCCGATAAATCCCACAACCCGCGGTGTCCGAGGGGTCACTCTGGGAGGGAATCCCGGGAATGGGGTGGGGAGAGTGACCAATTCTGTCCCAGGGTCCCCATTCCATTCCGATGTCCCCATTCTTTTCTCAGTGTCCCCATTCCCGTCCCAGTGTCCCTAATCCCATCCCAGTTGTCCCTATTCCAATGTCACCATTCCCAGTGTCTCCATTCCCATCCCAGTGTACCCAATCCCATGTCCCCAGTCCCAATGTCCCCATTCAATCCCACTGTCCCCATTCCCTTGCCAGTGTCCCCATTCCATCCCAGTGTCCCCATTTCCATCCCAGTGTCCCCATTCCCATCCCAGTGTCCCCATTTCCATCCCAGCGTCCCAATTCCAGTGTCCCCATTTCCACTGTCCCCATTCCTGTCCCAGTGTCCCCAATTCCAGTGTCACCAGTCCTGGTTGTCCCCAGTCCCAGTGTCCCTCTTTCCAATGTCCCCATCCCAATCCCACTGTCCCCAATCCCAATGTCCCCATTCCCATCCCAATGTCCCCAGTCCAGTGTCCCCACTCCCAATGTCCCCAATCCAAGTGTCCCCATTCCCATTCCCACTGTCCCCATTCCCAACCCCATTCCCAGCCCAAAATTCCCAAATCCTGACTCTGCTGTCTCCAGCAGGAAAAGAGAAAAAAATCCCTAAAAAAATGTATGGGATTTCCCTCCCCAAAATTCCCAGAACTCTTTCTTTCCCCCACTTGGGGACATTCCCAGAAATCCCCAAGGATTTGTAGGATCACGAGGATTTTATGGAGCATTTTGGGGGTCCCTGCTTTGATTCCAGCCTTGGATTCCCCTGGGAATGCTGGGAAAATTCGGGATAAAAATGATTCCCAAGAGTCCTTGTGGCTTCCCCGCTTTTTATTGGGAAAAGGGGGAACTTTGGGAACGCAGCGGAGCCACCTCGGAACTTCCCGGGAAAGGGGACGGGTGACGCTCCTGGGGTTCTGCTGCTGTCAGGATCTGCAGGGAAAATGGGAAAATCCCAGAAAATTCCATGGGGAAGAAGGAAAATTCTAATTCCTACCCCAAATCCCAGAAAATTCCATGGAAGAGGAACAAAATCCAATTGCCACCCCAAATCCCAGAAAATCCCATGGGAAAGGGGGAAAAAACCAACCCCAAATGGGCAAATCCCATAAAATTCCATGGGAAAGGAGGAAATTCCCAATTGCCACCCCAAACTCCAAGGAAAAGGAGCAAAATCCCAATTCCAGAAAAAAAAACTATCCCAAAATATCCCCAATTAAAAAAATCCCCATTCCAAAAATCGCCATCCCCAAAAATGGGGATTTTTTTGGGAATGGGATTTTTTTGGGGATTTGGGTTTTTTTTGGGATGGAGGATTTTTGGGATCAGGGTTTTCTGGGGTCAGGGTTTTTTTGAGATCAGTGTTTTTTGGGATGGATTTTTTTGGGATTGGTGTTTTTTGGGATTGGGGCTTTTTGGGATGGGCATTTTTTGAGATTGGGGTTTTTTTCAGGATGGCTTTTTTGGGGACTTTTTTTGGGATCGGGTTTTTTTGAGCTGGGGTTTTATCTGGCAAGGGGGATTTTTAGGATGGGGTTTTTTTGGGATGGAGGATTTTTGGGCTTGGGGTTTTTTGGGATCGGGGTTTTTTTGATTTGGGTTTTTTTGGGCTCAGGTTTTTTTGGGATCGGGTTTTTTTGGGATTTTTTTTTTTTTGTGATGGGGTTTTTTGGGGTGGGGTTTTTTTGGGATGGGTTTTATTTGGGCTCAGGAATTCCTTACTGGGAAATGCGGCAGTTGGAGGCGGACACGAAGCGCCCGGTGTAGTGGATGTGGCAGCGCACGACGTTGTTGGTGAAATCCGACTCCAGCACCAAATATTTGGGATTGACCTGGACCTGGGATGGGGAAAAAATCCGGGAAAAGGATCCCAGAAATCAGCAGGGAAAAAAAAAACCCAGGGAAAATCGAGCGGGAATGGGGGAAAGGGAAAGAAATCCCAAAAGGGAAAAGGAGAATTAGGGATATCCCAAAATAGGGAAAGGGAAGGGGGAAAAAATCCCAAAAATTAACAGGGAAAAAGAAACTAAAAAAAATCCCAAAACAGAGAAAAGGAAAGAAAAAAAATCCCCATAATAACCAGGGAAATGGGAAAATCAAGGGAAAAAATATTCCAAATATAACCAGGAAAAAGGGAAGTGGGGAAAATCCCACAAATAACCAGGGAAATGGGAAAATCAGGGGGAAGGGAATCCTAAAAATAACCAAGGAAATGGGAAAATAAGGGGAAAAAAACAAAAAATAAACAGGGGAAAAGGAAAATCAGGAAAAAAAAAAACCAAAAAACCAAAAATAGACAGGAAAAAAGAAAGGAAAAAAATCCCCAAAACAACCAGGGAAAGGGGAAAATCAGGGGGAAAATCCAAAATATAACCAGGGGAAAGGGAAGGGGGAAAAATCCCAAAATAAGGAAAAGAGAAGGAAAAAAAATCCCAAAAATCAACAGGAAAAATAAATGGGGGAAAAAATCCCCAAAATAACCAGAGAAATAGGAAAATTGGAGGGGAAAAAAATCCTAAAAATAACCAGGGAAATGGGAAAATCAGAGGAAAAAAAACCAAAAAATAAACAGGAAAAAGAGAAGGGAAAAAAATCCCAAAAAATCAAGAGGGAAAGGGAAATCAGGGGGGAAAACCACATAGAAAATAAACAAAAAAATCCCAAAAATGAAAAGGGAGAAGGGAAAATCAGAGGGGAGGAAACCCTCCAAAAATTTAAAACAAAATTCCCCCAAAGTCAAGAAGGAAATGGGAAAATCAGGGCAAAGCAAACAGAAAACAAACAAACAAAACAAAAAAAACAAAAAAAAATCCCCAAAAAATCAACAAGGAAATGGGAAAATTGGGGGGGAAAACTAAAAGAATAAACCAGGAACAGGCAAAATAAACAGAGGGGGAAAAAGCGAGGGAAATGGGAAAATCAGGGGAAAAAAACCCAAAAAACAAACAAACAAAAAAATCTCCAAAATATCAATAAGGAAATGGGAAAATTGGGGGGAAAACTCAAAAAATAAGCCAGGAACAGGCAAAATAAACTGAGGGGGGAAAAAGCGAGGAAAATGGGAAAATCAGGGGGAAAAAAAACCCCAAAAAATCAGGGTTTTAGGGAAGGGGAAATCAGGGAAAAAAAATCAGAAAATAAAGGAAATATCCCCAAAAATGAAAAGGAAAATCGCGGGGGGGACCCCAAAAAATAAACAAAAAATCCCCAAAAAAATCAAAAGGGAAAGGGAAATCAGGGGGAAAAAAATCCTCAAAAAAAAAAAAACAACCCCAAAAATGAAAAGGGAAAGTCAGGGGGGAAAAGAAAAAAAAAAAAAAAAACAAACAAACAAACAAAAAAAAAAGGATCCGGGCTGGAATTGGGATTTTCCAGCCCAAAATGTGCCCAGATGTGCCCAGATGTGCCCAACCTTGAGGATGTAGTTCCCTGGGGGGACGTCGGTGATGTCGATCCACTGGCAGTCGATGTCGGCATTGTAGGTGTCATAACAGCCTGGGCTGAGCCCCTGCAGGGAGAAAATGGGGTGAGAAATGGGGAAATTAGGCAAAAATGGGGGGGAAAGGGAGAAAAAATGGGAAAAATGAAAAAAAAAAGGGAGAAAAAAGGTGAAAAAATGGGGAAAAAATGGGGAAAAATGAGGGAGAAAAGGGAACCCTCGGGTGTCGTAACAGCCCAGGCTGAGCCCCTGCACAGGGGGAAATGGGGTGAGAAATGGGAAATTGGGCAAAAAATGGGGAGAAATGGGGAAAAAGGGAAAAATTAGGAAAAAAATGTAAAAAGGGAGAAAATTGTTGAAAAAATGAGGACATGGAGGGGAAAAATGGGCGGGAAAGGGACCCTGTGGGTATTGCAACAGCCTGGGCTGAGCCCCTAGGGGGGAAACGGGGTGAGAAATGGGGAAATTGGGCAAAAATGGGGGGGAAAGGGAGAAAAATGGAAAAATGAAAAAAAAAAGGGAGAAAAAAGGTGAAAAATGGGGGGGAAATGGGGAAAAAAATGGGGAAAAATGAGGGAGAAAAGAGAACTCTCAGGTGTCGTAACAGCCCAGGCTGAGCCCCTGCAGGGGGAAAATGGGGTGAGAAATGGGGAAATTGGCAAAAATGGGGGGGAAAGGGAGAAAAAATGGGAAAAATGAAAAAAAAAAGGGAGAAAAAAGGTGATAAATGGGGGGAAATGGGGGAAAATGAGGGAGAAAAGGGAACCCTTGGGTGTCATAACAGCCTGGGCTGAGCCCCTGCACAGAGGGAAATGGGGTGAGAAATGGGGAAATTGGGCAAAAAATGGGGAGAAATGGGGAAAAAGGGAAAAATTAGGAAAAAAATGTAAAAAGGGAGAAAATTGTTGAAAAAATGAGGAAATGGAGGGGAAAAATGGGTGGGAAAGGGACCCTGTAGGTATTGTAACAGCCTGGGCTGAGCCCCTAGGGGGGAAACGGGGTGAGAAATGGGGAAATTGGGCAAAAATGAGAGGAAAAGGGAGAAAAATGGAAAAATGAAAAAAAAAAAGGAGAAAAAAGGTGAAAAATGGGGAAAAATGGGGAAAAATGAGGGAGAAAAGGGAACCCTTGGGTGTCATAACAGCCTGGGCTGAGCCCCTGCACAGGGGGAAATGGGGTGAGAAATGGGGAAATTGGGCAAAAAATGGGAGAAATGGGAAAAAAGGGAAAAATTAGGAAAAAAATGTAAAAAGGGAGAAAATTGTTGAAAAAATGAGGAAATGGAGGGGAAAAATGGGCGGGAAAGGGACCCTGTGGGTATTGCAACAGCCTGGGCTGAGCCCCTGGGGGGGAAACGGGGTGAGAAATGGGGAATTGGGCAAAAATGGGGGGGAAAGGGAGAAAAATGGGAAAAATGAAAAAAAAAGGGAGAAAAAAGGTGAAAAATGGGGGGAAATGGGGAAAAATGAGGGAGAAAAGGGAACCCTCAGGTGTCATAACAGCCTGGGCTGAGCCCCTGCACAGGGGGAAATGGGGTGAGAAATGGGGAAATTGGGAAAAATGGGGAAAAGGGAAAAAAATGGGGAAAAGGGAAAAAATGGGGGAAAAGGGGGGGAAATGGAAAAAAAAAAAGGAGAAAAAAGGTTAAAAATGGGAAAAAAGGGAAACAATGGGTAAAAATGGGGGAGAAGGGAACCCCTTTGTCCTCTCAGTGTCACCTGGGTGTGGGCGGTGCAGGCACAGTGCCACAAATGGGGACAAAAGGGACCAAAAGGGACAAAAAAGGGACAAAAAAAATGGAGAA